CGGTTATTGTATGTTAGTCAACATTTTCCACGGTTCGCGATTTTTTATCATCAGTTAACGTATTCACAGTTGGCGGTGATTAATGACCTGGAGATTTAGTTCACTCAAACAAATCGCCATAGTAAAGGATTTTCAGTAATACAGGAGTATATACATTATACATAGACATTCTACACTATGAAGTGGCAAGTCCGAAAATGCCGTAGATTTCGAGAAATCAATCTCATTGTGCGAATAGCCAGCGGCCATAAATGATTTGCCGGTGTAGACGAATTTTCCTTCAGGATCCTTGGATAGACCTCTTCGGGGCCCAAAGCAGAATAAGTCGATCTGGTGCAGGAGTTCAGAAATGTCCTCCACCGTGAAGACCAAGTTGGTTAGAGGATCTTCGTAGTTACGCCTTGACAAGAGTGGATCTGGTGAGGACGTTGGGCAGTGTTCACTGTAAACCTCAGATACCACTGTTGGGTCGCTCGTCGGTTCTCTTTTCCTGTCCCTCAAGGAGAACGCGGATGGCTTGTTTCTGCGGCGATGTCTCATGTATTTGAACAGTACGTTTTTGTTCTTCCGAGCGAGGTCCAGGATGGTGGCTTGTTTTCGTATGTTCCATTTGCGGATTTCTGATTTAGAGAGAATCCGTATTTTACGACTTTTTGCAAAAGTTGGGACCATTTTTCCAGAAGTCACCGAATTTTTTCGGCAGCCTGCGGTTCATACGAATGCGTGCTGTTTTTTGGGACAAATTTCGCCTTAGCCTCGTGAACTATCTGGTCGATGGTCCTATACAGTTCTTCCACTGGAGCTGGTCCCATTGTGACTTGTTCTAGAAGGATGCGCATTCCTGAGAATTCTGCCCTGCAGGAGTCTCGAAACCTCGTTTGGGGTTCGGGATTTCTCGTCCAATAGCCGATGAAATCAAATTCAGCACACACTGGTGATCATGTTCCAGTGAAGCGTTAATTGTTACCTGATCAACGAAGTGTCTTTCGTTGGTGATGACCAAATCCAGGAGGGCTGGTAGTTGGCCTGCGCGGTATCTGGTGGGTGCAAAGACATGTTGAGTCCAAGCGCTCTGTTTAACGACTTCAATCAGCGCCGCTGTAAAAACTCCGCTTGATTCGATGCACCAGAGCTCCATACACGAGGCCTTTGGAGCGTGGAAGTCACCTACCAGCAGGAGATGCTTGAAGTGGTAGTTGAAGGAGAGTTGCTCAAGAGTTCTGTTCATCTGTTCCTCTTCAGGGGGACTCCAGGGGCTACGGTAGACCACATCGAGAAGGAGAAGATCGGACCCGCGCAGCGGGATTTGGACTCACCGTGCATCGCAAAAAGGTGCAGGAGCGGTATCAGAGAGGACAATCGCGATTGGTAGGGCCGCACGTAAATACAGAGCAGAGAGGACAACGCGATTGGTAGGGCCGCATGTAAATACAGAGCAGCCTCACCAGCCCTCTCGTTTTGAGTCAGCTCGAAAAATAGAGTAACCGTCCATCGAGACCTCCGCATCATAGACACCTGGTGTGAGCCAGGTCTCTGTGAGCGCGATTATAGACGGTCGTTCAAGGCAAGCTGCCTGTTTAATATCGCAGTCAGTTTGCTGTTTAATAGTGCATTGTACTGGGTCCTAGGGGAGCCTCGACAACCGTCACAGAAGGTTATTCCGCGCAGCTACTAGCCGGAATGAGAAGGAATGTCCTTTAACGAATGCGTGCTCTCTGAGACTGAAAATCTTACCATGTCCCCACCGTATGTTTTTTGGGTCTGTAGTGTCTGTAATCCGTTAATAATACTAATAATAATGTTTGTTCCCCAAATTGTTGGGGGCATACCATTGGGAATGATCATGCGTTTGCAGTCAGAATGAGGCATATGAATGGGGGATTTGCGGCTAATGGGGATTCCGCGAAATGGGGACAAATTTGTGAACAGTCAGAAGTATTCGATGGAATAATGATAGCAGGTTTCATTCGCAACTTGTAGGGAACAATGGGCATGAGGTCCGAATAATTCAAAGACTCAGTCGGTTGGCATGAA